CCCAGACCCCCTCTAATTCTCCCCTGAGGCTGCTCTCTGTCCCCACTCATAAGTCTCTCACCTGCCCCAGGCCCCCAGGGCCCCTTCCTCATATCCCCACCACCCCTAATCTTTCCTCCCAACAACCAGGGGGCCCAATCTGAGGGGCAGGTCCCCACAACTCTTCCTCCTCCCCCATCTCCAGCCCGCCCCAGAGGCTCACACTTGTAGTAGGCAAACTGCAGGTAATGATACATGGTGGCCACGAACTTGTCCACGAAGTAGCCACCCACATTGGGGGTCAGATTGGCCTCACAGTCCACCTGGCACTGCAGGGACTCTGCAAAGAGATCTGGGGTGGGAGGCACCAGTGAGGAGCTCGTGTGGCTGAGCAGCTCCATCCCACTCACGCAGAAGGCGCCAAATCCCAGCTCTGGCTACTGAGCCTGCTTCCTTGTCCAAGTGCTTTGCTGTTGCGATCACATGATTATCGTGTTATCTTGATAACATACAACACATGATGCTGGCATACAATATATGATGCTGAGGAAGATTACCATGGGCTGGGCTGACTTAACACCCCACAGCTCAACCCCCACCCCAAGCCAGAGAGAGCCAGGGCATTCTGGGAGAATGGCAAGTGAGGTCTGGAGGTGGGACTGAGGACCAGACAGAGAAGATAAGGACAGCCCCCCTTTCTGCGCCTGCTTGAGGAAACTGGGGGCTAGAGATCCCAAGAGTAAGTGTGATTTCTGCCCACAAACTGCTTTCTGCACACACCTGTTTCCCACCTCAGCACCTTTGCACCCGAAAGGCCTGTAACCCAACCTTCCCAGACCCTTTTGGGATGTCATCTCTCTGCATCGCTGCCCAGCACCTTGGGCCCTCCCAACTGTTGCCATTCGCACTCAGCGTCTCTCTCAGCAGGCTGAAGGCTCCGAGAGGGCAGAGTTGACACCTTACTCCNCACTCAGCGTCTCTCTCAGCAGGCTGAAGGCTCCGAGAGGGCAGAGTTGACACCTTACTCCTCTCCTGAGCACTTGGCATGTGCTCCGTCAGTATACACGGAATGAATATGTGTGTCAAGGGGCTTTAGAAAGCAGAGCCCTGTGGGTGAGCGGGACGCCCACAGTGGTCTGGGTGGGGAATACCTGCTATAGCTGGATAGAAGTCTTTGAAGTCCACCTGCTCGTGGGCCCCCTCGCAGCCGGCCAGACACCGGGCAAAGACTGCCAGGTACTCGGCCAGGGCCCGCTCCATGTCCTCGGTGCTGCTGCGGAAATCCCCGCTGTTGTAGAGCTTCACGGCCCGGAGGAACACGGCCTGGGGGGGAGCGTGGCACGGGGAGTCGGGGACCTCAACACCTCCCCTCCTCTACAAGCCCTACTGGTGGGTGGGGGCGGTCAGGAAGGGGCGTCCGGATCGGCCCTCCCCGCTGCCCTCCTCCCCACCTCGTAGGGCTGAGCCTCTAGGTCCGTGAGGGACTCTTCGGCGACGTCGAGCATCCCCCGGTAGTAGTTGAGATACTTGGCGGTCAGCTCGTGCTTCGGGTTCTTCTGGAGGAAGGTGTAGGCCGCGGCCACAGCCTTCTCCACCCGGTTAGCCTGGAGGAGGCCGGGAGGGGGAGCGAGGTCAGGAGGGCCGCAGCCCGCAGCCTGCGCGCACGACGGGCTTCGTGTTCCGGGAGAGGGCAGCGCTCCTCCGGCCACGCCGAGCCCAGGCCGGGCCCTCGGGCGGGGGCAGGGGGCGGGCGCCCACCTTGAACAGCGCG